GATTTATAGGAGGTTGTTCAAAAGAATTTCAACATTGCATTACAAACTTACCTATGTTACATAAATTTAGGGGGAGACAAAATGCTTGTAGCTAAAGTACAATACATTTGAGATCTTGTATTTAATTTGTATTTTCGTCTTTAATATTATTCGCATAAATATATTTGGTTTTAGGCCTTTAAGATTAGGGAGTTACGATTGACTCTTGAAACAATTTATAAATAACTCCGTTAAATGCGTAAGTGGATGGGTCCAAAAAATGACCAATAATTTGGGTTGCTATGTGTAGTTCAACCTACTGAAATACGACTACATGGTATAAAATTATTTCTGTTTCTATAATATACACATAGTGTATGAACTTAAAAAGTAACCAATAAGGGGTTTTTATTTATTTATTTATAAATATAAAGATTCAATTAAGGAAGAAAGGCATCATTTCTTAGATGGAATTCATAAATGTGAAACATCAATTGACCAATTGTCTTGATTGAGTCTTTGACTTCAATTCACATTTAATTTTGCTTTCAATTTGGAAACCATTTCCATGTTCTTACTTCCCCCCATCCCCATAAATAGGATGCAGTTTTCCCAAAAACCTAACTAAATGCCAACAAATGCCCCAACCCCATCTCTCTATGTAACCTACACTTTCAACATCATTTCTCTCTGACCCAACCAAATCAAAAACCACCCTCACAATTAATTTCTCTCCACCTAATACACCACGCTCCTCACGCGCTCCATTCAATTTGGGGGTCCCATCTGTATCTGGGGATAAAGAGATTATCAGTCACATAGCACGAGAGGCGCGTGGGTATTTAAAGAATGCATAAATCTTCTAGTCAAAGGTCAACTAGCGACAAAGTTGCTTTCTTAACCGAAGCTTATTATAAAGCCTAGCCATGAAAAGCATTTACATCTAATTTTATTTTTCTTTTGCCAAATAATGAAAAACTTAAATTAACAGTTGGTCATGACAAGTGATTTCACTCTTTACATTCAAGTTCGAGTCTTCTTTTGTTAATTTAAAATAATTTAGATTATCGTTTGTATATAAAAAATTAAAATTATTAAAATAATATATTTTTATAAATACAATATACGGAGAGTTCAGAAAATACCCATGAAATTTTTTTTGTAAAAATTCTCAAATTATTATTATTATTATTACCTATATTTTTTAAAAATGGGGTTCTTTAAAATACATTAAAAATTTCAGTAATTTCCATTTAGAATTAGAACTCAGTTACAGCTTTAAAAGCAACTTTAATTTACTAATTTATTATTTAAGGAAAAAAAGAGAGAAAAACTTTAACTTTTAAACTCTCTCATCCCAGAAAGGCAGTTACGATTGACTCTTGAAACATTTTATAAATAACTCCGTTAAATGCGTAAGTGGATGGGTCCAAAAAATGACCAATAATTTGGGTTGCTATGTGTAGTTCAACCTACTGAAATACGACTACATGGTATAAAATTATTTCTGTTTCTATAATATACACATAGTGTATGAACTTAAAAAGTAACCAATAAGGGGTTTTTATTTATTTATTTATAAATATAAAGATTCAATTAAGGAAGAAAGGCATCATTTCTTAGATGGAATTCATAAATGTGAAACATCAATTGACCAATTGTCTTGATTGAGTCTTTGACTTCAATTCACATTTAATTTTGCTTTCAATTTGGAAACCATTTCCATGTTCTTACTTCCCCCCATCCCCATGAATAGGATGCAGTTTTCCCAAAAACCTAACTAAATGCCAACAAATGCCCCAACCCCATCTCTCTATGTAACCTACACTTTCAACATCATTTCTCTCTGACCCAACCAAATCAAAAACCACCCTCACAATTAATTTCTCTCCACCTAATACACCACGCTCCTCACGCGCTCCATTCAATTTGGGGGTCCCATCTGTATCTGGGGATAAAGAGATTATCAGTCACATAGCACGAGAGGCGCGTGGGTATTTAAAGAATGCATAAATCTTCTAGTCAAAGGTCAACTAGCGACAAAGTTGCTTTCTTAACCGAAGCTTATTATAAAGCCTAGCCATGAAAAGCATTTACATCTAATTTTATTTTTCTTTTGCCAAATAATGAAAAACTTAAATTAACAGTTGGTCATGACAAGTGATTTCACTCTTTACATTCAAGTTCGAGTCTTCTTTTGTTAATTTAAAATAATTTAGATTATCGTTTGTATATAAAAAATTAAAATTATTAAAATAATATATTTTTATAAATACAATATACGGAGAGTTCAGAAAATACCCATGAAATTTTTTTTGTAAAAATTCTCAAATTATTATTATTATTATTACCTATATTTTTTAAAAATGGGGTTCTTTAAAATACATTAAAAATTTCAGTAATTTCCATTTAGAATTAGAACTCAGTTACAGCTTTAAAAGCAACTTTAATTTACTAATTTATTATTTAAGGAAAAAAAGAGAGAAAAACTTTAACTTTTAAACTCTCTCATCCCGGAAAAAGAAACTTACTCTCATTTTAACCACAGGTAAACACACACCTAATCATGGTTAAAATTGTTGGTAAATGAGTCTAGCAGGGCAAGCTAGAGAGAGCTATTGGAGGCATCACATCACATCATTGATAGAGCCAATAGGCAATAGGCAATAGCCCTCTCTGTCTCTCTGATACAAGTCATGATTAACTCTATACCCTTCCCATGTATCTCTCTCTGTATCTATTGTTGTATATAAACAAAGAGTCCCATCTTCCTTTTACTGTACTGCAAAAAGCAAAAGAAAAAACTCTGAGCCACACCTTCTGCTGCAAAGCCCAGCCATTTTCTACCCTTTCTTTCCATTTCGCTTTCCTGGAATCCAAACAGTAGAGAATCAGACGCAAACCCAGATATCTGAACAAGGAAAGGAAGAGTCTTTGTTTTGCTTTTCTCTGTTTTCTGGCAGCTTGCTTTCTTGCCCTGTTTGGCTCTTTTGGTAAAGGAGAGAGAAGAAGATAAAAAAATGGGTGAGAAAGATGATGGGTTGGGGTTAGGGTTGAGTTTGAGCTTGGGATGTAAACCCAATGAGAATGAGTCTTCTTTGCGCTTGAATCTCATGGAGAAGCCTTCACAGCCCATGCAAAATCATCAACACAGAACTTCCTGGAATGAAATCTTTCAATTTCCTGGTAATTTTTTGTTCCTCTGTCTATTTTATTCACATTTTCCTTGAATCTTCTTCTGGGTTTTCTTTTTTTCTCCTCAAAACACAATCTGAAATCAAAAGGGAAATTTTTTGGGCCGTCAGATCTGTTTTATTTAAGGTTTTCTGTGTATTTTTATGATAAAGCTCACAACTTTTAACTTCTGAAATCACCACAATGACATCTTTATTTACAGCCTTGCTATTTGTATTGGTGTTTTACATCTTTCAATCGCTTGACAGATCGAAACCCAGATGCCAGATCGTGTCTGAGAGGAATCGACGTGAACCAAGCTGCGGATTTTGAAGAAGAAAACGGGGTTTCGTCTCCTAACAGCACGGTGTCGAGCCTGAGCGGGAAGAGGAGCGAGAGAGAGCCCATTGGCGATGAGAATGAGGCCGAGAGGACCTCATGCTCCCACGGAAGTGACGATGAAGATGGCAATGGTGGCGACCTGTCGAGGAAGAAGCTCAGGCTAACAAAGGAGCAGTCTTTGCTGCTTGAGGACACGTTCAAGGAGCACAACACTTTGAATCCGGTCAGTCGCTATTTTTTCTTGGGGTTATTTTGATGATTTCACAAGGGCATTTTGGTCTTTTCGACTCGGATTTGTGTTCTTCACTCTTCTTCAGTAGCAATTGTGTAATTTTGATGGTAAACCAAGGGCGGTTTTTGTTCACCCTCTTTTATCTTTTTGTGTTCAGAGGCAAAAGCAAGCGTTGGCAAAGCAGCTGAACCTAAGACCAAGACAAGTGGAGGTTTGGTTTCAGAACAGGAGGGCAAGGTGAGAAAAATTCTTCACTGAGCTCAAGGGCATTGTTGGAAATCTATGTTCTTCACTCTTCTTCAGTGGCAATTGTGTAGTTTTGATGGTAAACCAAGGGCGGTTTTTGTTCACCCTCTTTTATCTTTTTGTGTTCAGAGGCAAAAGCAAGCGTTGGCAAAGCAGCTGAACCTAAGACCAAGACAAGTGGAGGTTTGGTTTCAGAACAGGAGGGCAAGGTGAGAAAAATTCTTCACTGAGCTCAAGGGCATTGTTGGAAATCAAAGGGAAACCAGGGGTAGAATTGTCATTTAAACCAGTTGTTTTTGGTAACATACCAATTGCTTTCACAATTCTCATGTGTTTGCATTGAATGAGATGAGGCCAAATCTGGTTGGTTCCCATAAATAATATTCCCCAAACATGTTGCCTGTAATTAAATGAGACATTGATGATCATGTCTACCAACTGCATTGCTCTTTTGGGTTTTCCTAGGTGCCTCTTCCATTTTAGAATTTGGAAGATTATTTGTTTGGTTTTTGGTAAAATATAAAGTGGGTTCTAACTAACCAATCATTTCTTTCAAAATAACACCTTGCTATTTGCATTCATTGTTGAATCTGTTAAATAAAATGCAGGACTAAGTTAAAGCAAACAGAGGTGGATTGTGAGTTGCTGAAGAGGTGCTGTGAGAAACTAACAGAAGACAACAGGAGGTTGCAGAAGGAAGTGCAAGAGCTCAGAGCACTCAAGCTTTCACCACAGCTCTACATGCAAATGAGCCCTCCCACAACCCTCACCATGTGCCCTTCATGCGAGCGTGTGGCCGTCTCATCCTCGTCATCTGCCGCTGCTTCTTCCACAGCTCCTGCAAATGGCCAAACCTGCCAAAGTGGTGTCCCGAACGTCCAGCGGCCTATTCCTATCAGCCCATGGGCTACATTGCCGATCCAACGCCGACCACTTGATGCATCCGCACCCAAGTCGTAACTTCTGGTTGGAAGTATAATGGGAAAGCTGATGACTTAGAAGAATAGTTTGGGTTATTAGGAGGAAAATGGGTGAGAATGTGTATGGAAGGAGAAGGGAAAAGATGTGGTAGTGGTAGTGGACAACAATCATTTCTTTCAAAATAACACCTTGCTACTTGCATTCATTGTTAAATCTGTTAAATAAAATGCAGGACTAAGTTAAAGCAAACAGAGGTGGATTGTGAGTTGCTAAAGAGGTGCTGTGAGAAACTAACAGAAGACAACAGGAGGTTGCAGAAGGAAGTGCAAGAGCTCAGAGCACTCAAGCTTTCACCACAGCTCTACATGCAAATGAGCCCTCCCACAACCCTCACCATGTGCCCTTCATGCGAGCGTGTGGCCGTCTCATCCTCGTCATCTGCCGCTGCTTCTTCCACAGCTCCTGCAAATGGCCAAACCTGCCAAAGTGGTGTCCCGAACGTCCAGCGGCCTATTCCTATCAGCCCATGGGCTACATTGCCGATCCAACGCCGACCACTTGATGCATCCGCACCCAAGTCGTAACTTCTGGTTGGAAGTATAATGGGAAAGCTGATGACTTAGAAGAATAGTTTGGGTTATTAGGAGGAAAATGGGTGAGAATGTGTATGGAAGGAGAAGGGAAAAGATGTGGTAGTGGTAGTGGACAAGGTTTTGTCAATAGAAGCCGCCCCTCGTTTCTTAAAATTTTGGGCTTTTTCCAATTGTTATAGCAAAAGTTATGAAAGTGAGATGGAGATGAGGAGTAAAAAGTTGGTGACCAAGTTAAAAAAAAGTCATGTTTATACATGGGAAGTGTTGGTAGGATAATTTCAGCGGTAACAGGAGAACCTGGATTTTTTTAATGATAATTTTAGTGGAAAAGTTGGCCTTTGAATGTCAATTGTTGTAACCTATTCCATTAGATTTTGACTTAATTGTCGACAATTAATGCTAATCTCTCCCTTTCTTGACTAGCTATGAAAATAGCAACCAATATAATGATGGTTAGAAGATGCCAAACATTGGAGAGTAATTAGCTACCTAACCAAAATTTAATCTCAACTAATGAAAATGGAAAAAGGGTTTAGTCTATTTTACAAAAAGAGTTGAACGCATTTTCAACTTAAATATATTTAAATACCTACATTCGTCTCCACCATCAACCAATAAGCTAAAGATTAACCACATCTTTAACATTTGGTTCACCAATAAGTTGATCACCTCACTTTCTCTGCATTAAAATAGAAACAAAGATGAAATACATTTCTTTTTCTATGGAGGTTGTAGAAATATCTGTCATATTAATGGTTATGAATCCTCTGAAGCCAACACAAACAAAAACAAGGGAAAAGGCTATGGGGGGAAAAGAGGAGACACAAGAAAGACCACAGGGTCCTGGGAAATCATGTGCACCTGCAAGGACAAATGCATTGAGGGATTTGATATTGTGTCACAAAACTGTCTGAAGTAGAGAAATCAATAACATACAAAAGATTCTGGACAAGAACTTTCTGTGAAGTTTCAATAATCAACAAGAGGACACTGCGTGTTGTAGTTTGCAAAGTGAGGATATTAACTTTGTCTTGAGATCAAACTGTATTGACAGTGTCTGCAAGGGACCGCAGTATGCATCCCAAACCAGCTCTCTCTGTCAGTTTTTCATGAATCCGAAGGCACTGGTCGCACGTGGGCCGATCTCCAGTAGACAAGCCTCTATACAAGTACCTTCAAAGATGAAAACCCACAACTTGTAAAATATCCCAAAGATCACTATTTATGAAGAAGGGAAAGGAAATAAAGAAAACTACTGAGAACAACAGCAAGAAATTGGAAATGTATGTAGAAATAATATATACCTAAAATCTTCTAAAACTTTGGGGAGAAATACTTGCCTATATGATGCTAACACAAAGCCACATATATAAGAAATGCCCTAATGACTATAACCTGACTTCTAGAAACATAAAAAACAACAAGAAGAAACAAAAAAGATATACATCCCAATTTTTACTTTGAAGCAGCTTCAGATATTTTATTCTCTTGTAGACATTTTTGGACCCAATATTTTGACCACCCAAGAACGTGACCATTTGTTTCACAAAAAATTCCACTCTCAAGATTAAAATGCTGTGAAATGTAGACAGACAAATGTGTTTGTTAAATGCCAGGAAAGAGCATACGGATAAAATGCAATGCTGTCGCAGACTTACAAGGGGCCTTGTTCTTTATTTTCCCCAGTCTCATTTACTAATTACACAATTTAGAATCCTTTGGAGATATAAGATACTTAACTGCCCTACTTGATTCAAATTAATCTCTCTAAGGCTTGAATGACGGATAGTGAAGGTCCCTGTTTCTTCATTGCCTAACAAACACAAATATAGGTAACTTGCCTGTAAAAAACACCATCTAAAAAATATCGATAGTGCACGCAAAAAAGAGCCAACCCCATGATCCAGAATATCAGACCTACGTACCAAATCAAATTCAAGTTCATTTCTATAGCTCAAGATACTTTGTTTCTCCGTACAGGAAAATTCTTGACCAGCCTAACTGAAACTACTGCAGTATACTCTCATTGTGTGTACTTCTATATTTGGTTAAAGAACTTCAAATGGCTAAAAGCTCATTGAACATGCACTAACATTAGGCAGTCTGTGCATAAAACTAATACCAAATATCAGTGCTATAACAGTCCGTAAGAACACAATTTATTATCAACACAAATTTCAATTCAATAAAGAAAAGACTCGGAAGCAATATCTGATGATAATTTTTAAGCTATGAAATATGGTACAGTGGAAGTAGTAAATAATGAGAGTTAAGAAAAAAAGAAATTGGGGAGCACTCACTTCATAAGAATGTCATAGTACTCAGGATCCAAAGAAGAAAACATTCCATCAACATCTTTTATAGCCATAATAGCTCTATGCACCATTATCCAATTTGCAGACTGCAAAACGCCAAAAATTCTCATCATTTTCTCTTCATTTCTACACCAAACAGACCAACAGCAGTAAAATTAAACACGGAGACATTTCTGATTGGTCCCCAAGAAAATCACAGGAAAACACTACAAAAAGGATACTAAAGTTCTAAACTTGCAATTCAATTTTCTATTCCTGTTAGATTTTCTCGACAGCCAAACAGAAGATGGGAAAAAGAGAAAGACAAACCTTGCAGCGTTCGTCTCGGGTGTTGGGAGGTGAGCCTTCAAGAGCAGTTTTTAGAGCTTCGACTGGTTTGTATCTAAATGGAGAACGAATTAAACAGTTAAGGTTTTTGGCGAAAATCAAAGAATTAAGCAGTTTTAGAGAAAATTACACAAAAAAAAGAAAGAATAGAATTTGAGTGTTACTGTTTGAGTAAGCTTTCGATCTTTCGAGATTTTTGTTCGATTCTGGTGATTATGGCTTCTGCATTATCTGCTTCCACAAATTCCTCTGTTCCTGCCATTTTTCACACACTCTCTCTTTTTCTCTTTCACTGTGATTTTCTCATCTGCCAATTGGAAAAGACCTGGGGAAACATTTTCCCGAGAAAGTGACGCACCTGGCGACTAAAACTGTGTCGTTTTGATGTCGATCATGAAGTATTTTCGTGCAATTTGGGCCAGGGCTATAATTAAAGTATTATAATCAACGCTGTCGTTTTGCACCGTTTGGTAAATTGCTTTTGTCTCGATCAAATGACTTCCAAGACCTAAGAGATAAGGTGGCCACGTTCTATAAAAGGTTGTAAAATCAAACAAAATGTAGGGGCATTATCGTCATTTAGACTAAACGGTCATAATGATTGACACCGCACTTTTTGAATTCTTCTTCCCCTCCTCACACTTTTTTCCACTCTCTCTCTCTCTCTGTCTGTCTCTCTCTTCCTTGGCTTCAAAGTCTTCCTTTCTTCACCATCTCCATTTCATACAGAAGCAAAAAGCTCCTCAGAGGCTCACCTGTTAATCAATGGAGGACACAAGCCCTTACAGAAAACCCCATTTCCCATATTCAGAGCTAAACTCAGCAATTCATCCAAACCCCATCAAACAAGGTAAGTCCTACATGATGCACTTTCTCTTTAAAGCTCTCTTCTTTGCCCTTGTTATTATGGTTCTTCCATTATTTCCTTCACAAGCTCCTGAATTTATCAACCACACCATACTCACCAAGTTTTGGGAGCTTATTCACCTTGTTTTCATTGGCATTGCTGTGTCCTATGGCTTGTTTAGCAGAAGAAATGTTGAAAGGGGATTTGAGAATCCCTCAAATCTTGGTAGTTCAGAGTCTTATATGCCTAGAATTTTTCCTGTTTCATCAAATTTTGATGACGGATATGAAAACCCATGTGCGTCTGATGAGAAAAGAGTGGTTGGGCTTGGGAGTTGGAATTCTCAGTATTTTGTAGGTAACCCTGTTACTGTATCTTCTCATGAAAGCACTGGGTTTGATGCCCAGTGCAAACCCAGTTTGCCAGTTCATGAACGTGGTTCTGAAAATTCATATGGGTACAAGGAGAATAATCTAACTCAAGCTTGGAGTTCTCAGTACTTTCAGGGTGAACCAATGGTATTTGTAGCTCAACCAAATTATGGTCTTGATGAATGGGGTAAACCCAGATCAATAGTTGATACTGAGCCATTAGGGTTGCCTATTCGGAGCTTGAAATCAAGGGTAAGAGACCAGGATAGTTCTGAATTTGTGACTAGGAGTGAGTCTGGTTCAAGTTCTAATTTTTCACCTAATAGTTCTGATAAGAGTAGAAATGGGAAATTTGGTGATTTGGGTCCTCTAAATTTGGAAGAGGAATTCAATGAAGCTACTGCAGCACCTTTCCCAGTTCATCGGGGTTCAAGTTCTGGAAGGATGGAAATGGGGAAAAGAGTAGGTAGAAGTGGTCGTCCTTCACATTTTAGGCCACTGTCAGTTGATGAAACTCAGTTTGAATCAATGAAAACTCGGTCCTTCCAGTCCACATTGTCTTTCTCTTCCGAGTCTTCTCAAACTAGTTCCATGTCTTCTTCACCAAAAGAGGAGTCTTTTGCGCGCTCTATATCTTCAGAAGCTCTGAATTCAAAAGTGAATAATTTGAAGAAAAGGAAGAGTTCTCAAGGGTCATCTCCTTCAGGCTTACCCTCATCACCACCAAAACCAATTACTGAAAAAGTTTCAATGAGTACACTGCATTCTCGGGGCTATAGCATTGGTTCTTTCCATGAGGAGGATTTGAGGAGAAGCTCAGAAAATTATTTCAAGGACTTGAGGGGAAGTGGAAGTGAAGAGGATCAATTGGGTAACAAAGAGTTGGGGCCAGCTTCTTTGAGATCAGATGTGAAACCTGCAAGCCTCACTAAAGCTTCATTAAGGGGAAGATCAGTTAGAACAATCAGACCAAGTAGACTGACCACTGATGACAAGGTTGAAAAGATGTGTGATAATGGTGGAGCTATATCTATGAGGAAAGATATAATTCAAAATGGAGGAACCGACAAGAAGTTTTTTGACAATGTAACTGGTAAGCTTGATCTTGGCAATTCCTTGCACATGCCGAAGCCAACAATTCCCAAGTATCAGAAGAAAGAGATGCAAGAATTTCATGGCAATGTTGTTGCCGAAGAGTCTGAAGACGACTCGGAAAGTGAGGCCGAAAACTTTCTAGTAAGTTCAGAAGATGAAGATGCTGATCCTCCTCCTGCTGCTGCTGCTACATGTAACTCCGTCAATGTTGCAGGACCAGACTCCGAGGTTGATAAGAAGGCCGGTGAGTTTATAGCCAAATTTCGAGAGCAGATAAGGCTTCAAAAAGTGGCATCACTTGACAGATCAAGAGGGCTAGGCACCAGTGGTAATTTCTTTAGGTGATCATATATAAAATACTAATAATGCTCAATAGAGTTGTGGGAAGATGGATCATTCATCCTGTTCTAGCTTAAAGTATTTATCTATTTATTTACACTTTATTCATTTGATGAGCATTTCTTGTCTCTGCTGTACCAGACCAGGTGGATGTTTAGAAAGCATTTTCAATCACTCTACTATTTTCCTATAGTTTCTGTTGCATTTTGGAAACACGTTTCTCCAAATGCCACGATCCATTTTTCTTTAGTTAGAACTTAAGTAGAGAAGTTATAAATATTTTAAGGGGAATTTTATTGACACCCTCAATCTGTTCAAACCACACCCACCTCTCCCTCCAAAGAAAAACACCCAACAGCCAGGCACCCACTGGATCACCTCTGTCGTGGCGTGGCCACATGGGCCCATTCCGGCGACTCCCCTTTCCCCAGCGACCCCCTTCTCCCCTCTCTCTTTCTCTATCTCAAAATCACCACTAAAAATACTATTCCGACTAGAATTCCACTTTCTGTTTTATTACTTTAACGGCAACAGTAACTTTAAATATGGGCTGGATAATCTGCAACAGTAACTTGATTGCCTCATGGTTCTCATGGTATATAATCATATAGAGATCAAAAGACCAGCGATGGTTACATTCAAGGCTCTATAAAACAGAGATCTCCAAAGAACAAGAAACAGGTAACAAGTTCAAAAGATCAAAGTAAAGATTACTATCATATGGCGACGCAGTCCTTTGAGAGAATGAGTAGAACATGCGACAAATGGAATCAAAAGAAGTTTTGGGTGCTCAAGAGCGAAGAAAGGAATCTCATCCAATGCCATTGTGTATAATACTCTAATAGGTGCTTTTTGTATTTCCAACCAAGTTGAAGAAGCTTGTCTCTTTGCTGGGATGAAATCAAAAGGCACAGCTGCCTGCCACCTTCAATACTCTAATGGGTGCACCCAGCAGAAAGTTGCAGCCTAAATTGTTGAGAAGGTGCTGAGGCAGGATATCGTTAGCTTAGCAGGTTTCCTGGGTTTTCAACCTTGAGGACAAGGTTAATTTTGTGAGGGAGGGGTAATGTTAGGATCATGCCATGTCAGCTGCTTAGTCAGCATGATTTGGACTTGCGATTGGTCCAGGTCACCTATGATGTGTCAAGAATTGTCATTGTTCAATTAGCTGGGTTGTTAACTAACTAATGGTTGTTATCAATTAGTTAGTTGGGTAGTTTTGGCGCCAATTAGGCTTAAGCTTGCAAATCAGCTTTAGAAGCTAAAACTTGTGCAAAGCAAGGCATGTGATCCGGTTCTTACCAACACAATAAGATCATTTCTTGTACTTGGGTTAAGGTAGAATTAAGGTTGTTGGGGCAGGGTGTTTTTCTTTTTCAGTTATTTTATTTTATTTGTTTGGTGAAAACCAAGGTATCCCCCGCGCGATTGTGGGGACTAACCCTCGAGGTACTGTCGGGCGCAAAGCGGGGACCTCTCCCAACAAAGTCGGTTCTATATTCAGAGTAAAATCGGTATTTTGAGGAAAGGGTTTGTAGTTGAAGTAGTTAAGAGTAGTTACACATGCATCTGATGTCGTGTGTTCGAATCCCCTTCCCCAATAAATAAAAAATCGGTATTTTGAGGATTTTATTTATTTATTTAAGAATTGGCAATAAATTGAACCAAACCAAATTTATTCGGCCCATTGGACCAAACATAGCCTTGATTGAACTCGTTATTTTCCTTCGGTTCTTCTCAACCCAAAAATACCTTTGGATCGAATTGGACCCAAACAAAAGTAAAGATCATTTGGGTCAGCTTGGCCGATTTTTATGGTTCCCCCTAGCAATATTGAAGAACCTTATGGGCAGCAAATGATATTACAAGAACCAATGGGAGTGGAATGATATTTGTTTGCCTCTTTCCAGAAAACTGAACAGATAACATCAGCAAGCAAAATAACAGCAAACGGTTTCTTTCTGTGTGTGTGTGTGTTTGTGTGTTGGGTGTCTTTAGCTCGTTGTCTAACTCCATTTATGCCGGAAGCTTAAAACCCAAGAGACGTCATGCTGATGATTCCCTCATCTCTCTCTTTTAAACCCTGTAATCTATCTATCTCTCTCTCTCTCTCTCTCTCTCTCTCGGTATATTTATAATATACACATGGGTGCATTTGGAATAGGATACTGTTAGTTGCTCAAAATTTGAATTTCAGCTTTCTTTACACTTAACCCAGAAGTGTAGATTTCTCGAAACTCTGGTTTTTTGAGAGTGCTTTTTTCTTTTGGTGTTGCAGCTTTTAGTTTATGAGAAGACCCAGAAATTGGTTATGAAAATTTGCCTCTACTTATTTGTTTGCAGCATATACAAAGCTAATGTCTTTGTCAATCACTAAATGAGCTTTTCTAACTTATATGGGAAAAATACTTCAAGAGTGTAGGTTTCAGTTTCCATGATAACATGAAGAACTGCAATTGAAATTCTCACCTTCTTGTTTACAAATAAATTCTCAGCCATTCCATGACATAAGAGTTATTCTGCTTTATATTAGTTCTGTTTCATGTTCTCATGGTAAAATTGGGTCTCTAGATCGTTGAAATTTTGTAGTTCTTAATGAGTCTCAGGACTATTCAATCGCATTTGTTATTGTTAGCTTCACACTGCAAACACTAGATATTAGGGAATGAATCAACAATCTATATCTAGTTAACGCTCTCCTCGCGTCCAACCCTGTCCTGAACAGAATAATAGATAACTGAAAAATGGTGTGGTGAGAGGTTTTGAACTCATTACCTCTTGAAACCAAAGCTCCGATATACCATGGTAGACTACTATTGTGCCCCAAAAGCTTAACGTATTAGGGAATGAGCTAACAATGTGTATCAAACAAACACTCTCTCATGTGCAGCCCAATCTTGCTTGTGGAGAGAACACACACACACACACACACACATACATATGCCGAACATCTTGCACTGCAGAAAATTAACACATAGCTGGGTACTGAAGATGAGAAGATATCCCAGAACCAGAGCTTATATCATTTTAGACTACCCCAAAAGTTTTAAGTGGTTAGGAAATGAGTGAACAATTGTAACAAGGAGTTTACTTCCTAGGGCCCCTTTTTTGCCTGGTCATGACCTGACACGTGTGGTTTCGCTGACTCCATTATGCAGTAAACACATCCGATCGTGTTGTGCAATGTAGCATATCCGTAACTACACGCGATAGATGTGTGCCCTGTTTATAATTATGTATATACATGTCTTTTAAAAGAAATTTATTCTTCATCTTGGTTAACATGCCAACACTTCCTCTGCTGTTCTCAAATTATTGCAGAAGAAACCCGTGTTACTCCATTTGCTTTCCAGACAGAATGAATGAAATTATGAGCAGATTCTTACTATTTTAACATAATGCATTGAGTTTATGAAGTTTTTCTTTCTTCTTTTATCAGCAGCCAAACCGTGAGCATAATTATGTTTTACTTATCTTTCTTGTCAATATCTACTTACTGACAAACAGAATTCTTCCAGCTTCCCTACTAAGGATTCATTTTAATCAGAATAAGCAAATAATACAATGCTGCTCAATTCACGACTTGAGACATGACAGGTTAGGTTTTGATTAATTGGTTAACAAATTTTGATTAGTGTTTACCTACCTTATTCTGTTGATAATATATATATATATATATGTCACTTATACAAATCTTTGATTTGCAGGTCCGGGGCAAAGAGTGGCGGCATGTCTCGTTATGAAGAGAATGTGAATCGTAGGCTTCTCCTATTTCTTTCAGTCACAACTAGCTTGTTTCCAACTTTATCTTCTTCTGGAAAGACAAAGAGTAAAAGTCAGTTTGACGAAAGACGCTTACTTGAACAAAACAAGCGGATACAGAAAGAAAATAATGCACCTGAAAACTTTCCAAGTTTCATTAGAGAAGGTTTGTGCCACTGTTACATTTGCAAATACAAACACTGACATATTGTTTTCCATAAATCATCTGCTCAATAACTGCATTTCCTGGTCATCTGTTACTATGATAAAATTTCAAGCCTCAATTAGAGAACCTCTCACCAGCTATGTCATATTCATTGTTGTTGCTTTTCTAAACATCCCGGCGGATCCAACATGTGTGTATGAACATGTGTATCAGGTTTTCAGGTTCAGGTAGTAACGCCAGAGAACTACACAAAATGTGACTCAGGGCTTATATATCATGATTTTGTAGTTGGTGAAGGTGATTTCCCACAGGCTGGTCAGCAGGTTTTTCTTTCGTTTTCTTTTCCAAAATATATCACAGTTTGACATTTACGGTTGAAGCAATATCAAAATTTGGGGAGAGGATTATGCCATGTCATCTGTAAGACATCTTTGAAAAATTTACTTGGAAAAAGAAAGTCCCTCCAACTTTTAACTTTGGTTTTTTTTTTAAAATTTTTTAAAATTGACATTAAATATATGTGAATCACTGAAACTTTTGATAAAACTCTTCTCCAACCATGACCTACTCTGATTCAAGATACTTTGCAGGTGATGTTCCACTATGTTGGCTACAATGAGTCAGGCCGTCGTATTGACAGCAGCTACACACAGGGTTCTCCTGCCAGAATCCGCATGGGCACTAATGCATTGGTCCCAGGTTAAAAGTGAAATCAATTCTACAGTTCATAAAATCTTGTGTACTTTCTCCTTTGCCCTGGCCCCTCTACCCCACTCCCAAAAAGGAAGGGAGAAGGGGGAGGAGGAAAGATAACTAGTAGTTGAAGTTGCTAAACTAGGAAGTACTACAGGATTTGAAGAAGGAATTCGTGACATGAAACCTGGGGGGAAAAGAAGAATAATCATTCCACCAGAACTTGGACCCCCGGTCAGTTACTCATCTCTCTGATTCCCTTACTAAGTTACTATAAAGACTATAAAATGTTGAATTATACTAAATATGGTTGCTGTAAGAAAGACTCCACAGTTATTCAAAATGTTCTACTAGTAATTTGTGTACTTCTCTCACTTTTCTTCCTACGTAATTCACCTCACCTAAGATATTTTTGGCATGGCCGAATAGGCAAAACATTAGTAGACTTGCATTTGCAAGTTTCTGTTGTGATTGTGATCCTTTCCATTTGCTTTGATTTGGAGGCATTCTTCTGTACAGTGATTAGTTGTTAAGGTTCTAACTAATGCCATGAATTCTTAATTATCTTATTTTTATTTGACCACCCTGATTTGATATATTGCAAAATCTGAGCCCCTGAAGCCAACTTTCGGTCTGGTTATTCAACCCTATGGCGTTGATCTGTTGTTTGAAATCTCAGGACTTAAGAATTGGAAGATTCAAGTTTCAACAAAATGTCATTGTTTTTACATTGCAGGCAGCTTGGGTCCTGAGATGCAGAGCTATCATAACATAAGCATATTCTTTGATGAAGAAATTGGATTGTTGTGCTTTCTTTTTTCTTCTCTTTTTGGGAATCATATGCGTTTGTATTAAACTTCCATATTTTTAGTATCTGAATTAACTTGACTGATAACATGCGATCCGTTTTACAGGTAGGACCTTCTACTTTTTTCAGCTCCAAACAGTTCGAAGTGTTTGATGTGGAACTGCTAAGCATTCAAAACTGCCAAAGGAGGACTGTCCTGGCT